TTTATACTTATAAATTTTAATAAATTCATATCTTATTTTAAATTTAAATTTTTCTATCTTATTTAAAATTATTTTTATTTTTATTTTGTAAAAAAATACATAAAAAAATTACATGTTAAACGGTATATTAATACAAATTAAAAATATAAATAATATGTACATATATAATATGCTTGCAATTAATATCACAAAATAATATATGTAATATTTACATAGATATTGCATTATTAAATATATAATTTAAAATTAATAATATACTATAAAAGTTATTTAAGTTGTATATATTGTAAACAAATATATTAGAACAAGTAGTCATTGTTATATTTAATAAGACTCCTTGCTTTTTCATTAAGAGATTTAATTTTCATTATTATTTTTGTGATTTATGGTTTCTTAAAAAATTTAAAAAAAAAAAAAAGTGGTTGAACCGGTTTGATCCATTGGTTCACCAGTTGAACTGAAAAATTGACCGGTTCAATTCAATTTGAAACGGGTCGACTGCATAACCAATCTAACTTCAGATTCGGACTAGCTAGACCACCGGTTCCTGGTCCAACCGGTCCGACCGGCCGGGTCGATCCGGGTTTTAAAACACTGATCCAAAGTTTCTGGTCACATTGGTTTCAGCGTTTGAACGGGTTAATTAATTAACTAAACATAAAATCCTGCAAACTATTGCGTCACTTAATACCCCTTAGCAGAAGTAACAATCAATTTACCGATTTCAAGGTTCTGCAATTTGCAGATTCTTCATATTTTACCATTTGATTAATTAACAAATCACGCAATGTATAGCAAGAAAGAGGCTTTAATTTATGCTGTATGTTATAAAATTGCTACGAATTTGGTTCAGTGTTCACAACTTTATTGGTTCAAGTAAACAAACTCTTAATTTGTTGCAGGAATATTAACATTTTAACTTTTAAGTTTGTAGTTGTACCATGATAAAATATTTTATTAAAAATTCATTAGCAGAATTATAATTTATAACCAGTCTCATCTTACTTTTAGTATTTGTATATTTTTATCATTTAATTATAACTAGTTTTTATCTTATATGCTTTTAACTTAAATATATTTTTAATTTTTAATATCTTAAATTTAAAATTAATTTTTTAATTCTTGTAATTTTAAAAAAAATATTTTAATCTTTATATTTAAATTTTATTAAAAAATTTATTAAATATTATCATATTAAATCTATATACTAGTATTTTTTTAATAAAAATATATTAAATCTAATTAATATTACATAATTATCTTAATTTATCACTTTTAAATAAATGTTATTGATGACTTGAAAGACTAAAACAAAATTTTTAAAAATTATAAAAAATTAAAAAAAAATTAAATT